TTTACAAAGTATTTTGGAAGCATTCCTTTATTTTCAATTCGAGGGAAATATACGTTAGCGAAGCTTGTTCGTTTGTTTGTTGAATTACTCGAGGGCTATCTGTGTCAGCCTTCCCTAATCTAGAAGTGATAGACTAGTGAGAAGGCAGCTAGTCAACATTACCCACCGCCAATTCTTGAGCCACTCTTTACCAACGAAAAGTCGGTTTGACCATCTTAGTTCGACACCCCCACGGCTGAAATGACGGGCATGTTCGGTGACGGGATACGAACCCGCGACCGTCAGATTGCTAGTCGAACGTCTTAACCCCAAGACCACGTCAGGGCGTGAGATGAGCTAACATTTAAAAATGAAATCATGAAACCTTTTCACTTTTTCGAAGACTTATCTCCCTGAATATTCATCAGGGCATTTCACTGGAGGATCCAGCAGCTAACGGATTTACTTTCAAATTACTGGTTTGTTTTTACACTTGTGATGGGGGTTACACTGGATGATTCGGCAGCTAATGGATTAACTTTCATATTACTGGCTTGTTTTTATACTTTAAAGTTGTGGTTACATCATATAGTGTAGTTTTATGTTTTTACTGTCTCTGCACTGACCAAACAGACGTATAATCATTCAGCATTAATAGGTAGAATTAACTCAATATTGACCGTGGTATTTTATATTTTTAAACGTCTGGTATGTGAATAGTAACCAACCCACAAACAATTTGATGCACGAATAGGTCTTGAAACAACGTGTTTTACAAAACCGGTGAAATTCCCACACTTTCCCCTAGTGGTATATAATTCAAAGGTTAATGCACCTTTCTTGGACATATCCCAACAACATGCTCGTATTTCTATTTGTAGTTTGGTATACTTAAAAATCACTTTTCCAGCGTTATGCACATCAACAAATAACAGTTAGAACTATATAACTTCACTCAGTTCCTTTCAGCTCTCTTTACCCCAGTGCGTTATTAATTTTCATTCTACACAACCTTTTATGGCGTTGCACGAAGAATTTCCAAGTTAATCACGGCACTGCGATAGTCTGTATTTTTCTTGTTCTTTTACAAACTATAATAACAACACACAATTTCTTTCCAAAAGCACGTGAATAAGAATCAAATTGTTACATAGTTAGAAGATTCCGTAGGGCACTTGTGAATGCATCTTTGTTTTCAATTGGAATTATTCTGACGAATTCATTTTTACAGTTCCCAAAATTTTACAGTTAATGTAGACTGTAATGCTATTTTATAACCATTCAATATGCGCATCATTTGGGAAATACTGCGATTTGCTGAGTAACGCTGTATCTTCCACAATTGCATCTTACTGGACGCTTCACAGTCGTTTTTTAGATCTCCAAATACGTTTTACCCATCCTTTTGTACAAATCTTTGCGTTTGATCAGGAATTATTTAAAACTTATAAATACCAACTCATTTTACACACATTACAAATCGATTATTAACACATAACAAAACGCTTTACCACAAAACGTTTAGTACTTAACAGAATCCCCTCCTCCGTCCTTTTCATTACACCACGACGCAAGGCCTCTTCGCCATTTTGCGGTTTTAACAAACCGTGACCTCAGGCGACCGCATTCTACCCACAAAATCACGTGCCAAGAATAACTAGTTGACAAATTGACTCACTGATACGAAACTGATTTAGAATTCTCGTGACGTGAACAGTTTTTTCTTCATCAAAGTTTCTACTTTTATGGAGTCACATGTAGGGTTTTACGATATATATTAAAAGTACTTTTCTTTAGTTAGTAAATTCTGATCAAATATTAAGCTAACTATATAGATGGGAGCTAAATAAGGTAATAGACCCAGTTCTGTATAATAAACTAGCTAAATTGAAGTACGTGAAGTGATAGAGTAGAAAAAATTAAACCTATAAAAAATATATACTAATTAGAATGCATTGAAACGCGAGTTATGTTAAACGATATTTTAAGGATTAAGCCCAATAATACTTCTTGAGGTTTAGCCACCTTAGGAGATTTACGTTAGCCCTAAATCCGTAGATTAGGATAACAATACAAAATCATCTTCGTAAGGCTAACAATTAATAAGATTCAAAACTATTTTAAACATTATAACCAACGATATAAGCGAAACTAACCTTATGGTGTACTTGTAAAGTAGATTTCATCAATTAGTTTGGTTTGAATTTCGTGTAAAGCCACACGATGGCTATCTGAACTAGCCGTCCGTAATTTAGTAGCGTAAGACTAAAGGGAAGGCAGCTAGTCAACACCAATTACTACCAACTCTTGGCCTACTCTTTTACCAACGAATAGTGAGCTTGACCGTCAAATTATAACGCCCCCACGGATGAAAGGACGAGCATTTTCGGTGACGGGGATTCGAACCCGCGACTCTCAGACTGCGAGTCAAGCGCCCTAACCACCATGCCCAATTTCATTAATATGTTAAATAAATATTATACTGGGTGTGTGAAGCATTTCTAGCCTCATCTGTAGACTCTGACTTGGGTCGATCTGTAGCATGTTAATACACTGGACTCTACTGGATTGTTATAACAACAAAATCTCCGTCTCTCTACTGGATTCTCTACTGGATTGTTATAACAACAAAATCTCCGTCTCTCTACTGGATTGTTATAACAACAAAATCTCCGTCTCTCTACTGGATTGTTATAACAACAAAATCTCCGTCTCTCTACTGGATTGTTATAACAACAAAATCTCCGTTTCTCTAATCAGCCAAATATTCTATAAGAGCTAACTTTTTATTCATTATTCAGGGACCAATCTTTTATGTTGTGATAAAATGTGGCTATTGTCACATTAAATAATAATTTACACTTTTTTGTTAACAAAAAGTTTAGATAAGATTTGCGAAGAAATGAAATATAATCGAATCAAGACAAGGGATTGTGTGTGAAAGAAGAGGGATTTGAAGAAATGTTTCGAAAATTGTTAATGTGAAAACTGACAAGTATTGGGAAAAAATGTTTTTCAGATATCATTCGAAAAATATTCTTTTAAAACAAAAATCATCATAAATCATGAAAGTCAGCAGTATGTATTAAAAGTAGCGTACGGTAGTGTGTATCAAAAGTAGCGTACAAAACGTCAATGTTGTTAACCTTTGTTTTGGATTGACTATAGATGTAATTAATTATATGCGCTAACAGTAAAGAGTCATGAACCTTTGGCCCTAGGATACACAGCCCGATACGCTAACCAGACCACGTTACTGGGTGGTATCAATCAGTATTAAAATTAATAAGAAGCCAGTGTGTAGAAATACAAAATATTCCATCAAATGTTTCATTTGATAATAACAGTACACCACAATGTAACAGTTTACTACACACACACACACACACATATATCTATATATGTATATACATAGCCAAACATACAGGGAACAATAACAAACGTTCCGTTACATCTGGGTCAACAATATGTTTCATTTTATTTAAGTTTAAAAACTGTCCCACAGGTCATGGTCAATTACCTTTGAAGAACTAAAGGTCAAATTTAAAGTGACGACAAAGGTGTAGTTGCTAATTTCCTTTAAAAAATTCTTAGGAAGGGATCCAAACCAGTTATAGGTTGATCAAGGTGTGATCAAAAATATTAATAAACCAGTTATAGGTTGATCAGGGTGTGATAAAAAATATCAATAAACGAGTTATAGGTCGATCAGGGTGTGATAGAAAATATTAATAAACGAGTTATAGGTTGATCAGGGTGTGATAGAAAATATTAATAAACCAGATATAGGTTGATCAGGGTGTGATAGAAAATATTAATAAACCAGATATAGGTTGATCAGGGTGTGCCAGAAAATATTAATAAACCAGATATAGGTTGATCAGGGTGTGACAGAAAATATTAATAAACGAGTTATAGGTTGATCAGGGTGTGATAGAAAATATTAATAAACGAGTTATAGGTTGATCAGGGTGTGATAGAAAATATTAATAAACGAGTTATAGGTTGATCAGGGTGTGATAGAAAATATTAATAAACGAGTTATGAGTTGATCAGGGTGTGATAGAAAATATTAATAAACGAGTTATAGGTTGATCAGGGTGTGCCAGAAAATATTAATAAACCAGATATAGGTTGATCAGGGTGTGACAGAAAATATTAATAAACGAGTTATAGGTTGATCAGGGTGTGACAGAAAATATTAATAAACGAGTTGTAGGTTGATCAGGGTGTGACAGAAAATATTAATAAACGAGTTATAGGTTGATCAGGGTGTGACAGTAAATATTAATAAACGAGAGACAGGCACCAGTCGTAATGTACTGTAACAACTTACTTTCTCATCATAATTTTATTATAGTTACATTATTTATGTTTTAATTTAATGTGTGTAATGTATACATCTACACGAGTGGTACTGGTAATGTATACATCTACACGAGTGGTACTGGTAATGTATACATCTACATGAGTGGTACTGGTAATGTATACATCTACATGAGTGGTACTGGTAATGTATACATCTACACGACTGGTACTGGTAATGTATACATCTACACGACTGGTACTGGTAATGTATACATCTACACGAGTGGTGGTGGTAATGTATACATCTACACGAGTGGTGGTGGTGGTATTGTATACATCTACACGAGTGGTGGTGGTATTGTATACATCTACACGAGTGTGGTGGTGGTATTGTATACATCTACACGAGTGTTGGTGGTATTGTATACATCTACACGAGTGGTGGTGGTGGTATTGTATACATCTACACGAGTGGTGGTGGTGGTATTGTATACATCTACACGAGTGTTGGTGGTATTGTATACATCTACACGAGTGGTGGTGGTATTGTATACATCTACATGAGTGGTGCTGGTAGTGGTAATGTATATTTATTATTCCACACTATATACCACTTAAAAACCTGAAAATGTCTTGTTGTTTTCCCTTTTGAAAATATAAGTATTTCAGCTGTTTCTCAATTATCAAAATATTACAAACAATGAATGACTTACCACTTCCTTGTCCATGGTGACTGGGGGCAGAGGTTCCTGGACCCGCCGACAGGAGTGGCTGCCGGCATGGGAAACGCACATGTTGTGGAAACACGAGTGACAGCCTGTAGGGAGAGGAGGATGGAGAGTATGTGAGTGCTCACCCACTGGGAGAAACGAACAATCGGTTAAGCAAGGACAATTACAACACCAACGATTGTTAACGGGAGTTGTGGCCGAGCCGCCTATCCCCAAGCTGCAGGGCTCACCGCAAGAATGATCATTCCGTTCGCCAGCCAACATCAAACAAGGTGGATGCATCTTCCGACGAAATCAGAGTAATTCGTTCTTTGCTGTTCTCTGTCTGGAGACGGACACTGGCGCGGAAATAGATGTTCAGTTTCTCGCACGTTTTAGGTTAGGCACACACCTGTTGAGATGAACTTGATAGCTAGCCTTCTACTTTAATCACACCACTAGGCTTGTCAATGGACGTTTCTATGTTGTTCATGCAGGCTCGGAAGATGACTTTACACCTATACTGCCTGCACATTTCACCACAAATCACTCACTGTCTAGTCTAAGTCAGGAGATTTTCTTATAAGAGCAGCACGCACAGCAACTTCCGTGACCTCGCAGGCAATGATCATTCTCCCACAATTCTGTGCGACCGCTCGCCTGAGAACACGCAATTCTGTGCAATAATCCAGGCTAAAAAGATCGACAACGTAGGGGTACGAGCACTGCCTGAATGATAATGGCGTTAAGAAGAGCCTCTGGGGTTGGTTGGTGACGAGGCAGAACTTAGTTGCTAGGCGGCCTCAGCCAAGACTGGAAAATGAGGTACAGGCACGCACGTGAAACAAGCAGGCGCAGTAAGGGGCTAATGTCGAGACCAGTATAAGAACCAGCATTAGGTAAAAAAAAAAAAAAAAAAAAAAAAACAAACACTACAATTCACAGAAGTCAAAATTGATAGGTATTTAGAGTAAATAGGAAACACGGAATTCAGACACATAATACCAGCACTTCTCACCTTGGAATAACGTCTAAAAATGTTGGTGCGTTAACTAAACCCTTGGTTAACATAAACAAACAAAAATTTTACTCAATTTGAATGAAGTTTAAAGTGCTAATTACAGACGTGGTTAGGCTATCACTACACAGCTTTCTAGGTTACATTTTTTTCAATAAAAAGTACAATCTAGTGAACGGTCAACAGATAAAATAATTACATACATGTATACAAATTTCTGTCCTCCGACACTCCAGATGACATAAAACGTACAATCTAGTGAACGGTCAACAGATAAAATAATTCATATATGTATACAGATTTCTGTCCTCCGACACTCCAGATGACATAAAACGTACAATCTAGTGAACGGTCAACAGATAAAATAATTACATATATGTATACAGATTTCTGTCCTCTAACACTCCAGATGACATAAAACGTATATTCTAGTGAACGGTCAACAGATAAAATAATTACATACATGTATAGAGATTTCTGTCCTCTGACACTCCAGATGGCATATTCAATTTTTATCAAAAACGCATTCCTGTTAATTCGAAAACTTGCACAATGGCGCGCAAGAAATTGCACGTGGAATTTCCTGCTAACCAAAGAAACGGTTACACTTTTACATGAGCGATCTTGGCTAAAAAGTACGAAAACTAGTTCCGGTAGGATAGAGCTACACAACGGGCTATCTGTGCTGTGCCCACCTCTGGTATCTAAAGCCGGTTTTTAGCGTTATTGCCTTCAGACTTACCACTAAGCCACTGCCCCCCCCCCCAATCTTCTGTAAGGAAACATATAACATATTCTAGCTAGTTCAAGTACAAATTAAATATATATATATATAATTGTAATAAATTTTTAGGGCTCTGTGTGAAATTCTGACAAATCGCCATATTTAGAATTTTTACGTGGTACCGTCCTCCAGTGACAACTCGGCTGATCCATCATAATGTGATTGAGTAGCAATATCAGTATTTATTTGAAGTTTATTTGCTTTATTCATTTTAAGCCTATCGATAGATGGAGCCACTCTTCGTTGGCAAATTCTAGTAGATTAAAGATGTTATTTAATTTGCTTAACTTGTAGCACTAATGACAAATGAATAACTATTTGTTAACCGATGAGAAATGTCTTAGTGTATAGTGTTATAACTTATGTAAGTTAGTATACAATGATAATTGATATTTGGTCATGTGTACGTACTATTTCTTCTATTTTGCGAATATGAAGTTTATTTTTCTTCCTTTCAAAATTCCGCGCAAGGTTACACTAGGAAATCTGTAAATAGCCGTCCTAACAAGAGGGAAAACAGCTAGCGAACTCTTTTGGCTACTCGTGTTGGGATTTGATCGTCACTCTTATAGATCATCCGGGGATCGAAATATTACATTCCCGGATTCCTGAAGAATTTCACCTTTTTAATTGGCTTTCCCGATCGAGAATTCATGGTCAATCCATATTACTTTAGTTATGACCAATGAAAATTAACATATCGCATGGATTAAAAAAAAAAATTCATGTTGAAATGCAACTTTACATGAGGGAATGACAGCTTTCCCTCGAGTGAATGTAATTCTATTTCCTTATTTCTATCTCTGGTACCAAAGAACGGTGGGCGTTTTTGGTAGTAACGGATGAAAAACCGTAAATATTCGAATTCACGATCCGGACTCACTAACACTGTTCTGCACATGTACAACTGAAAATGGGTATACACTTGATCAACATACTAAAAGTATTACGAAGATTAGAAAGTATGTGTTACTGTTTAGCTGAAACCGAAAATATTAGAAAGTTCAGTTCAGTGAACTATTTTGGGTCTTTTAGTATTTAGCAAGTCACTACTGATAGCATATGGCTGATAAAGATTGTGTGGCATTACCAATGACTGTATTGTAATCACAATCAGGGGTAACTATTGGTATATATACACCTGTATACCGTAAGCACGAGACCGAATAAGTTAGTAAATATACTTATATACAGCAAAACCAACTTTACATAAAAACTGAGCCCCTGCGTACTAGGGCATAAAAAAAATAAAAGAACTATTTCAGTTTAATTTTGATATGAATGGGTAACACACAGGGAAAGCCTTTCAAAATGTGTATTATCACTCATTCCCTACTAACAACTGAAGATGAAGTAAAGCCTTTCAATTGTTTTATCTCTCATTCCCTATTTACAACTGAGGATGAAATAAAGCCCTTCAACTGTTTTATCACTCATTCCCTACTTACAACTGAAGATGAAATAAAGCCTTTCAATTGTTTTATCACTCATTCCCTACTTACAACTGAAGATGAAATAAAGCCTTTCAAAATGTGTTTTATCTCTAATTCCCTATTTACAACTGAAGATGAAATAAAGCCTTTCAATTGTTTTATCTCTAATTCCCTATTTACAACTGAAGATGAAATAAAGCCTTTCAATTGTTTTATCTCTAATTCCATACGTACAACTGAAGATGAAATAAAGCCTTTCAACTGTTTTATCTCTAATTCCCTATTTACAACTGAAGATGAAATAAAGCCTTTCAACTGTTTTATCTCTAATTCCCTACGTACAACTGAAGATGAAATAAAGCCTTTCAATTGTTTTATCTCTAATTCCCTATTTACAACTGAAGATGAAATAAAGCCTTTTAATATGCTTAACTTCAAGGTTTTCCAAGTAACCGCTACAATTAAGATGTGTAATTTAACAATACAATTACAACAGGACCAAATGAAGAGATGTTTATTTATCATTAACAATGTTTAATTAGGTATATATATATGGTACTTTACATATGTCAACTTACATTATTTTCATAACAAAGTACAATTAATTTTAAAAGACCTCCCTCGTTAATGTGTATTTATAGTTTTGTACATATGACTAATCGTGAGCCATCAAGACCAAACATTTATTTTTCTGTTTAAGGCTTTATGAACAATTCTAGTTATATTACCAGTTATATATTTTTAATGTGATGGTATTTGCATCTCAGAATATACCTTGCAAAATTATATGTCAATTTTATTTCAATTAAACCTTTTTTCTTTTTATAAAAACCAAGTTACCAGTTTTTTTTAGAATTAGATGGCTTTGTCTGACTAACACGAGTTTTTTAGGAAATGTGTAAAAACAGTAAACAACTGAACTCGTCTACTTGTTGATGTTAGGTATAAAACTGTTTTTGGTAGCACTGCTTCAAATATTACACAAACATCTTGCAAGCCTCAGCAAACAATGGTAGGCCTAAGAAAACATAACATGTGTAAATATAATTCTTAATCACACTTGATTAATTTTTGATGTATGGTATAAAACTATGTTTTTGGTGGTGCTGCCTTATAATAATAAATTTAAACAACATCTTATAAGCCTTGCCAAAAAACGGTAGGCCTAAGAAAACCTCAATGTCATAAAAGATATCTTTGGCTTTAGCACTATACACATAATGTGTGAAAAAATAATTATCAACTAAACTTCGCTAATTTTTGATGTGTGGTATAGCATAAAACTATGTTTTTTGGTGACACTGCCTAACAGTTACAAGTTAACACAAACACCTTGCAAGCCTAGCCAAACAATGGTAGGCCTAAGAAAATCTCAATGTTTACAATATATTTCTTTGGCTTAACTAAAGCTAGTAGTAATAGTAATAAATTCACATAAACACTTTGTAAACAATGGTAGGCATAAGGAATCCTCAATTTTCACCACAGGCATTATTGTCTTTATATAAAATGCTACACATGAATGACTAAGTTAACTTTTATGCAGATACAAAAATGATAGAACAATACAGGAAACATTAACTTCATTAGCAATCAACTTGTGATAGATAGAAGAGAAACAAAGTCAATTTTTCAAAACGTTTATTGAATGCAAGTTGGTCATCTTTAATTATAAGAAAACAGGCTGTTTAAAAACTGTTGAAGAGTTGCAAACTTTGTATGATATTTTTATTATTCATGTAGTATATTTCTAAAAATCTTGGAGCAGGAAAAGGAAGTTTTAAAGAACCTGGCATTTTCAAACATCTGACCACCCAAAGTTTTAATATATTTCCCCAGCCAAAGAACTTCTATTTGCTAGATTTTAAAGGC